CATGATTTTTCCTTTTTTTTCTTTTTTTCCCCTATATTCTCTTTTTTTCCCCTATATTCTCTTTTTTTTCCTTTCCCATATTAACTTCTTTTTTTCTTACACCTCTTATTCCTTTTATACCCTTGTTCCTTATCTTTTTTCTTAACTCCTTTTTGTAGTATTTGAAATTTTTTTCCTATTTTAATGTCCTTGATCTTTAATGTTTTCTATATTTGGAAAAGAATTCTTTTTTTTATTGTAACTTTTTAACTTAATATTAATTTTTAGATCTCAAATTAATATTTTGGATTCTTGAAAAAAAAAGAAAAAAAAAAAAAAATAATATACTTTGTTCAATTTGTATTCTTATTTTTATTTCCAAAAAAAAAAAAAAATTGTATATGTATATTTATTTTTGGTTTTGTTTTTCTTTTACAATTACTGTACATATATTATCATTATTATTTTTTTCTTCTTTTTTTTCACTAATCTTATTGAATTTAAAGAGTTAATTTTATAATAAAAAAATTTTTTGTTAAGTTTATTAAATCTATAATAAACTTATTTGATGCTTTTAATCAGAAAAAAAAACACAAAAACAAAAAAATTTCTTATTGCATATAAAACTTGTATTTACTCCCCCCCCCCCCCCCCTTTATTATTGAAAAAAAAATAAAAAAAAACCCTTATATAAAAACTTTTTATACAATTTTATTACATAACAGTCGATTCCTTTTATATAAAATTATCTTTGTTTGATCTTTTAAATTACAGAAATAGAATTATTTGTACAATCCAGAATCTCTAAGTGATTGCAAATATGCTAAACGGTATTTGTTATCATCAGCTGGACCTAACAAAAAGTTTATTTAATTAGTATAAGTATGCCTAAATAACGTCAATTTGTATCAATTAGAAATATATGCATACGATTAATGGGTGTCCACTTTGGTTCTTCCTTGAATAATCCTAGCAGGTTATATATAAAAATATATCGTTAAACGTTGATATTCGGTGAAAAACAAAAAGGATCGTTAATACTCACGTATAACTTTTAAATAATCATTGGTGTCAAGAGTGAACCGATGATAGATACCCGCAGGCTTAAAGAATATGACAAATTTTAATGATTAATCATATTTAATCTTTTACAACAATTCACAGAATGATTCGAAAAGATATTTACCAAAACAATCAAATCACCCTTTGTTACAGCAATGCGGATCCATCGATCCAACAGATCTAAAATTTTTTTTTTTTTAAAAAAAAAAAAATAAGATAAAATAAAAAATTTAATATAATTCAGTAATAAATATATATAAAATTTTCTTTAAATTTTAATAATTACCGCGAACATCAAAATAGCCTGAACCATCAATAATATACCGAATTTCTTCATCTTCATGAAGATGTCTAAATAAGGAAAAATTCGTTTAAAATCTACCCTTCCCAACTTTCATCATTACAACATAAGCGAAGACTCACTCTTCGAAAAAAATTTTCAATTTTTTTTCATACAAATCACCCAACCCTTCCTTGGAACAAGTAAGCTATGTATCAAAAAAAAAAAAAAATAATATATATATTTATTTAAATTTATCAAAAAATCAATATAATTAAAATCAGTGATAGATATTATTAACCTCATCGCGATTTTTATATTTCCTATCTTTTGCTATCTTGTCTAATTGAGCAAGATTATCGTCCCCGTCCAAGTGCCAGTAAAGAACTCCCAAGTTTCGGAGTTCTTCAGGAGTAACAGGTGTTAAAGGCACCTGTTCGTGAGGTTCTCGAGGGTCATAGTCTTTATTGTCGTAAAAGTAGGCACGCATTTTATTCTTAATTTGAACTAGAAAAATTTACGTTATAAAGTTATATGAAGAGGATACAGACGTTTTCTTCCAAAGATAATAAAATTTCAAAATTTGGAAAATTGAAAATAGCAAACTAAGTTCGTATGTCGTGTTTTTTTTGGCCTTAATCGTTTTTTTATAACCCAAAATTTTTCGAGCTACTGTATTTACACGTGACTCTTAACGCCTTTTTAAGTCCTTTTTTGGATTAACGAATGTTAAAAAATTACAATGAATTGTTACGTTTTATGCACATTCTATCTAATGATCCATAAAAACAATCCAACTTCATATGATATTATCTATTTCTTCGAGAATTTAACGTTAACTAGTTTAAAAACGGATTTTTTAATTCATAATAATGCAAGCACTTTAATTAAATTTTTTTAATGAACTATCA